ACCAAAGACACATGCAGAAATGTAAACAAAGTAATGAATATCAAGAATATCAATGTAGATGTGATGATTACTAGGCCTTGAAAACAACACCGTTAAGTACTTCTAAATAAAGGCAATCTCCATGGTATGTGCACTCTAATGCACCAATTTTCTTTGAGTGGGTTAATGTCTTGAACAACATTAAAACATAAGGCCATTGCAAAATTAACTAAAAGACATGGAAGAACATGATTCCCACTAAAAGTGACCTATATACATAGAGGACCTACCATTAGCAAAAGGGATATTGAATTTTGAATCATACAATTATGCAAATTACTGGAAGACATGACACCAACGCGGTTAATTGTTAGGTTTATATTACAATACCTTAAATTTTTTTCCCAAACAATTAACTCAATCATGATAGAAAAATATTTATCGTATCAAACAAAAGTTAACCATTCCTTTTATTAATAACTCTTAAAGTTGAAATACTAACATAGTAAAAAGAATAAAGAATAGTTTAAAAAATGTTTCACCTACTAAAATGACTATTATGGTAGAAAGAATGAGCTAAATACATAAATACTACCACAATAAATAAATTTAAACTCCTTAAATTGTCATTTTCAAGTTTTGGAATCCTAAGCACTTAGAAACAAAATTAAGTGCAAAAGGCACATATGATCCCATGTAAACAATTGAAACACAACAAAACAAAATGGAATAAGAAATTAGAAATAATTATGCATTTTAAAATCTTACAACTATCTAGCAAACTTTCCCAATAACACAACAATTTTCTTGCTACTCATATACATCTACAACTATAGTTGTGCTACAATCATCCAACTTAATTTATATACATAAAATTGATAAAGAAATGTTTGATATTTGGTTTGGGTTTGCATGACATGATATAACAAATAAGTTTTATTCTCTTACATGCCAAAAGACAAGTATCTTTTTTTTTTCGTAACCTTATACTCCCCAACAATGCAAACCAATTCCTATTAACAAAATAAACAGTTTAAACCATTTTCAAAACAAGCCAGACATCTAGCCATATAATTATGTCATTCAAAGCTATAGTCATACAAAATGTACTAAAAGTAAAAATAGTTTAAGGGCAATGTCACATTAATACATTCATCTAATTTTCAATAAACAAAAGGCCCTAACATTAGTAATAATACATTATTATAATTATAAATTAAAATACTCAAAAAAAGATAGTGGATCTACACTATTAAGCCTCGAAGGCTTCTTCATGCACTACTTATACTTTTTTCTTGAAAATTGTTAATCACATGATGAAATTCTAAAGTTTTAGTAATTAATGCTAGTTTATAATAACGTATGTAAATAGTTATATGTGCGCTTGTTAAGTAGGGACACGATGACATTTTAATTCAAACAAAAAGAATAAGAGATATTGTAATGCATGCCAAGTAAATATCCTTATCTCACTCCATTAACCTTAAGCTGTAGCCATCACAAAGTGTGCTAAATCATCTGGTCAAATGTAGGCTGGCATGAGCTCTTACAAGCCACCTGTTAAGTCCCCAACAAGAACATATTGCGTAGCACAAAAATACAATAAGAAATCTCCCAACACCTTTCACAAGAGTCAAGTGATTACATATCAACAATATGCAAATATACAACCTTACAATCTACATAATTTTCTCATTTCCAACAATATTACAACATAACATCTCACTGAACAAAAATATTTCAAAGTATATATTACAATTTTTCATAAACTTAACAAAATAACTTCTCAACCACAATTCATTATTTTTTTAATAACCACACAAATAATAATAGGCAACATTAACAACAAATTAAAACATGGTTATCTTACGACTTTATTAATAAATTGCCCCTGACGAATTGTATGCCCACCATGATCTTTACCAACAATACAATCAACAATAATGTATTATTATATAAATATGATTTTCAATTATTGAAACCACAAAAACAAATCTAATCAAAGTTAGAAAGTATAACATAATTTCCTAATCTCGTTATTGATACTAATTTAGGGTTAGTACCCTTAAGTAAAAATTTAAACTTTTCTATCAATAATTAATAAACACTAATAAGCTAAAATCAGCTTTCAAACTCTTTTTTATTATCAAAAAATTCTTTTTTTATTATATAAATTTGCACAAAAAATACTTAAAAATTGCACACTTGGTCTTGAGCTTAGAATCATTATTTTTATAGTCATAATAACCTGTTCCTCATTTCAAATGATCATCTAATATTCACAAATCAACTTATATTTTTTTAGATTAAATGAAGACCTACCAATTCATCTCCTTTCAAACTCTGGATTTTGCACACTATACAAAAAATCAAATTCTAAATGATAGATAACTGAAAAAAAAAACACTTATAAAATCTTGAAAAGCTTCAAACAACTCCTAAATATGATGCTATAAAACCTCACCTCTAAAAAGAGCTCTCACACTATCAATGTTCTCCTCTCACTCTCGCACCGTGTTTCGTGTCACGCAGATTAAAAAAAGAAAGAAAGAAAGACAAGGTGGGAAAATAATTGTTTTGTGTGTGTGTATGCATTTTTTTTAGAGGGGAGGGCCTAAGCTCAAATTACAGAATATTAAACAATTGGGGAATCAAATCCCAAACTTTCTTCATGCACTAGGACCCTCAAGAAAGGAGGGGTCGTGTCATATGACCGTGAGACTTGTAAACCTTCCCTTGCAAGCTTATCAACAACCTTGTTCTTCTCTCTTGCAATCTAATGTCAATGTAGGTTTCGCTGAAATGTCAACATACTTCTAATTTGCTGTAATACCATACTTCCTCGTTGGAATAATGCCTCATCCTCATGTAATTGTCTATTATCAATTTTGAATCTAATTCTAAAATCACATTCTCGAACCCCATATCCCACACAATTGAAGCCCCTTCAAGATAGCCCATTCTTTACCTCATGGACACTACAAATTCTCAATTTTTGTGAAGAACTAGCAATCCAAGTGCCACACTTATATAATATATATATATATAATCAGGACTTCAAAGCATACATGCTGACATTACTACGAAGCCACGTCAGCTCTATATTTTCCTCCTGTGATGACATGCGGATGCAAGCTCATTATTTTTTCAATAATATTTGATTATATCTTCCAAAATATAAGCTCCAATTACCCTATTAATTTCTCCTTCAATCTCTTTTTAACAATTTTTCTTTCAATTTGAAAGATTTCAAAAAATAATCAACTTGCCATGATGCATGCATCAATTGATTTTTAAACTCATCAATTTTTTAATTAAATTTTAATAAGATTGGATGCTGATTTAAATTTTATTTTGTGAATTTAATATAAATATCTTGGCAGTTTAAATTTATTGATTTCTCTTACAATTTGTAATAACAAAAAACAATCAATGTATAGGAAGCCCAAGCTGCAGCACTGTGGTCTGAAATGAATCTATATATAGGAAGTCTGGAAGTGGTAAGAAGGGATTGTATAGGAGGTTGATGTTTGAAATTCAATGTTGATAGAGCTTTTGTTGCCACTTTTGGCAACTAGCTCTTCTGCTTGTTGGGGTGTTATACATTTGCAAATATGAGGTAGTAGTTTCAATTAGCTTTGAAAGGATCTTCCTTTAGCTGTAATCACCTATGTAGATGTCTACTTGGTCAAGTATTATCTGATCAACAATGTAAAGAAACATGGTATGATAATGATCACATTTTTATTTGCCTAAGCATGAGGATTTACGGATGTGAGGTAAATTTGGTTTGATAAATGTGTAGGATTCAAGAAGCCATTTGTGACATGCTGTGGATATGTTGAGAAGTACAACTACGGTGAGAATGTGTGTAACATCCTAATTTTAATCCCCTGATTACATAAATTTAATTATGGTAATTAAGTAATTGTAGTTGTGTGTGGTTAGGAAGGCTAATAATTGATTTGAGTTGTGTTTTGGCCTTATTTTTGAGTTTGGTGTAGAGTTCAAGCCAACCGGACATCGAAAGGAGGAGAAATAGAGAGATGAGTATGTGCCACGTACCATAGTGTGAATCATATCCACTGTAGAACATAGACACCACTGATGCGAGAAAGGGACCTCTCTTGGTTTAAAAATGCCTTATATTTTTGAAGGAGGAGGGAATATAAGTTATGGTGTGACTTTTAAAATAATATTTAAAAAATATTTATGGTGTGACTTTTAAAATAATATTTAAAAAAAATATTTTAAAACTATCTTATAAGAGATAAAAAGTAACATAACATCATTTTTTAGACTTGTTACATTGAGATATATTTAAATTTTTCTCACTTTTATTCCTTTTTTTTGCATTGATATTAATAAAGTTAGTATAAATGACTTATAAAGAGGGCCGAAGGAGTGCTTATTTAAATTAAAAGCTTTTAAATTTTTAAAATTTACTATAATCTAAAGTAGCGATTTGATATTAAATTTTTAAGAGAAATAATAAAATTATGCCTCATTTAAATAAATATTAGAACTTTCATACTTTATTTGTTCATTACCTTCACTGGTTAATTTACTTACTTTTGTTGTTTAAATCATTTTAAGATAATTTGTTGACTCATATACTATATGTCATTTATTTACAATTGAATTGTTATTAATTACCCCACTTTGCTTATTCATTGTCTTATTTTACTCGTTCATTGCTAAACTTTTAGTTGATTTCATTATAGGAAAATAAATAAGTAGAGTAAGACAATTAACAACATTTCATAAATAAATGAATAAGTGAAATAAGATAGTTTTAATATTAATTTAAATGAAGGATAATTTTATTATTTTTTTATAAATTCACTATTAAATTATTATTTCTAAACTGCAGTAAAATTTTAAATATTTAAAGATCTTGAATTTAAAGAAGTTTAGTTCAAGGGATTTTATTGGATAATTCTACCAAGTTGTGTTTCACAACCTTACCCGCCACCATTTGGCGGCTTGCCGGTTGAACCCGCATTGCCATCTCTTACTGCAATATTGACATATAAGGGCAATTATGCCATAATGACCCAATATTTTATCATCTTTGCCGAGGAAAAAAAAGCGCGGGAAAATATCCTTGCTCCTACCTTAACCTGCCGCTCACTGCCTGAACCTGATAGATCACTGGAGTTCTGAAAAAATAGCTTAATTTGTATTTGTGAAGACCCTGCTGGCAGAAAATCCTTGATCTACTAACTAGCAATGATTAGCGATAGCCGAAGATGGGACCGCAAAGACTCCCGCAGAGCCAAGAAGCAGAAGCTAATCCGCAACACTGAAGAAGAACTCGAGGCTAAATTAGGGTTCGATCTTTTCTCAGAGGGCGAAAAAACGACTTGGATGGTTGCTGAATTTTTCTTCCGTAAGCCATTTCCCACTCCTACGGTCTCATCTCAATAAATATATTTTATATTCATTAAAATTTTTGGTGTTTCTAGAAGCGTGATGTATATACGAAGTTATGAACTCATTCTCTATATTGAGCTTCCCTGCTTCATTCTGCGATATTATATATTATATAATGTCTACGAGTTATGCTGTTATGGCATTGTATTCACGAAAGGGATATTTTAATCTCATTGCTAGTGGTCGCAATTTACCATGGTTTTTGTACACCATGACGACTGCGTTTAATGATGCCGTCATTATAGCTCCAGGTTACAAAGTGATCGTTAACTTCACGGAAACTTGCTGCCTTCAGAAAAATAGAAAATGTTGACAGATCAGAAATCAAACTCATCATGTCATTCGCATTTCCTGGCGAACTACCAATGCCATCTTCAACTTTCCTTCTAGTTTGTCTCCACTGCACCATATCTTTCTTGCATTATTTATATACTATGTACTGATTGCTCTTCTGATTTTTGCTGCCTCCACCAGCGGCCATCACCAGTGATTGTGCTGTTTGCTACTCAGATGTAGTCTGCCAGCACATTCAAACTTTAACCATCATCATTTGTATAATTCATTTTTTGAGTGTCTTTCCACAACCAGTTATTTTGTGTGAGATCAATGTACCATCATAACAAGTCAGTTTGTTCTTTAAGCCCATTATAAAATACAGATCTTCTTTGATCGTGTAACAAATGTCTCTTAAAATACGGATGAATTCATGTCATGTATGATTCCAAGTGATTTACATATGCTTTTTGTTTGTTGCAGTCATCTTGGGAGGATGAAGATACACACAAAGTCCATAGTTGTGTAGATCTTTATTTTGTGACGCAGGTATATAATTCTGCTGGAGTGCTTCTCCAGAAAATTAACTTTCACTAGTTTTCTACCATAAGAGAAATCGTTTCGTAATTAGTTAACTGTTTGGAGTTTTGCTACAGGATGGTTCTATGTTCAAGTCAAGTACAGATTTCAACCTTATTTCTACGTGGCTACAAAGGTAAGCATGCAAATAGACGCATACACAGCAGGGGAGGCAACACATTTGTGCTTATATGTGTGCCCGTGTGTGTCCATGCAATCATATAAATGCGTGCTTTTGTTGATTTATTCATTTTATGAAACCAACCTCGATGTCAGTTTCAATGATGGCCATGTGAATTCAATAGGATAAAATGGAGATGGAAGTTGAAGCATATCTGAGACGGCGTTATGAACGTCAGATTGCAGATATTGAAATTAAAGAGAAGGAAGACCTTGATCTTGTAAGCAATATATGCCTGTTTATATCTGCTTAACTCTAGATGATACGTGAAGTAGTATCTTATTTTAGTGCTTTACAAATGCTCCATTACGCTTCCAGAAACTCTTGTAGTACTAATCTTCACGGTTAGATAATTACATCCATAATTTGAGAAGGTCAAATCACTATTCTGTACGATATATTGAGCATTAAATTCTTGCATATGTTTGCAGGTTTTATAAGATCACTCTGGAACTGATACATAACATTTTTATATACCTGCATTTTATTAACGATTTTTGCTTTTGTCATTAATAACCAACAACACCATGGCTGTGCATGCTTTTTATCACATGAATTCATTTTGATTTTGTCATGTTGTTCTCAACAGAAAAATCATTTGTCTGGATTGCAAAAATCATATTTAAAGCTATGCTTTGACACTGTTCAACAATTGATGAATGTGAAGAGTGATCTGATGCATGTTGTTGAAAGAAATCAGGCAAAATCTGATGCAGCAGAAGCTTACGAATCCATATTAACTGGAAGAAGGTAGGTGTCTTTCATCTACATTTAGTTTTGTTTCGTGGAACAAGATATTGAAGTGTTACATTTTATTTCCTCATGGTGGCCCAATGCTTTTCATAGCAGGTTTAATTTAATTTGAACATAACATTAATTGTTCCATCTGATGCTATCCTGCTTCTTGCTTTGTAGGGAGCAAAAACCTCAAGATTTTCTAGATTATATAATCGATCTTCGTGAATATGATGTTCCTTATCATGTTCGCTTTGCCATTGATAATGGTACCTCTTGATACTTTCTTCGTGCTTTTGATAATTATCTTACTGTTCTTACATGCTATCTTCCAATCTATATCTATCATGATGCTCTGAATCACATGTGACTCAGACATTCGATGTGGCCAATGGTATGATGTTTGTGTGTCCAATACTGGGGTTACACTTGAGAAGAGGACAGATCTTCTGCAGCGTGCTGAAGTTCGTATTTGTGCTTTTGATATAGAGACCACAAAACTTCCATTGAAGTTCCCTGATGCTGAATATGACTTAATTATGATGATTTCATACATGGTAGATGGGCAAGGGTATTTGCTCATAAATAGAGAGGTAATAAAGCTGGTTAATGCTTGACACTATTTACTGTGTATTCCCTCCCAGTCATTAGTTTTTGTGGGGACTCTTTTTACCGAATGCCTCATAATTGAAATCCACTGAAGACGATATCCATTTGATTTCTGATTCTCTTCATAAGAGGTCAATATAATTCAGATTTCACCACCTTCTCTTGGGTTCACATGATGTTGGTTCATTTGCGTTAAGCTATTGTATATAGTATGAACCCCCCCTTGATTGTGAATCTGAGATATACAATCGTGTTAATGGCAATGAAGTATGAAGCATGGCCTAAAGGATCATCCAAAATCTGTATTTTAGATAAGAAAATATAAATTGACTATTGCACATCAATCTAGTTTTTATCCTAAAGTTGTTAGTTTAGTGCATGTATTATAAGGCTTTTTAATCCTAGGTTGATGCTGTTGAGTAATCAAATTATTTTTGTTGCTTTGACTTTTAGTGTGTTGGGGACAACATAGAGGATTTGGAATACACTCCAAAACCAGAGTTCGAAGGATGTTTTAAGGTGACAAATGTTCAAAATGAGGTAATGTGAATCTGCAAAGAGAATGTATTAGTTACCTGATGAAAAATCTGTTCCCTTAGGCTGTTGTGCTGTGATGGTTTCTGATTTATTTAGGTTTGCTGTTGTCTTTTGCTAAGAATTTGGGATTACTTGCAGGTTGAACTTCTTAGATTGTGGTTTTCTCATATGCAAGAGGTGAAACCTGGTATATATGTTACATACAACGGTGATTTCTTTGATTGGCCATTTGTGGAAAGAAGGGCAGCTCATCATGGGTTCAAAATGCGTGATGTATGTTGGTAACCATTTTATTTCTACTAGAAAGTCACCCTATTTACAAGTCATAAATTGTGTGGCTTCCTTTGGGTTCCATCTAACCATTTTTTATCCTTTCAACTTTATCCAAGTCATGAGACTTTGTGCAACTTTTTTTTTAATTCCTTTAATATTTCACCACATAATTTAATAGGACTTAAGTGTCAAAAAAATGAGTACAGTATTTGAGAACTTTTAAGTTATCATGTCTACCATGTGTTGCATGGGGAAAAATATCTGGTTGATATGCAAAAGTGGTCTGTATAATTCTTTTTCTCTACATAGATCTCACGACATTTGTCTCCTGTTTCAACTTTATTCCTTAGTTGGAAGAACATTCCACACTTAATGATTTCCTTTCTCGTTTTTTGATTGATAATGGTTATTCCTTTTGTTTTATCTTTTTGGTTATTTAAACTTGCAGGAGTTGGGTTTTCAATGTGACAATAGTCAAGGGGAATGTCGAGCTAAATTTGCCTGCCATCTAGATTGTTTTGCTTGGGTTAAACGTGACAGTTATCTTCCTCAGGGGAGCCAAGGCCTAAAGGTACAAATTTCCACCTTTCATTCCTTAATTCATTTTCAAATCAATTTGGGTTGACTTCTCTTCAGAGATTAACTGTAAACTTGATTTATGGAGGAGGATATTAGAGTCAAGGTTTTGCTTGAGTAGGAGTAAGGCGGAATATTTGCATTGTAATTTTGATAAGATGTCAGTTAGTAGTAATTTGGAAGTGAAATTGGGAGATTTAGATTATACTTTAAGTGAAAAAGTTTAAATATTTGGGAGCTATTATTCAACATAATAGGGAAATTGATGGGGATATTGCACATAAGATATAAGTTGGGTGGTTTAATTGGAAAAAAGCGAAATGAGTTATTTGCGATTGTAAGGTACCCAATAAATTTAGAGGGAAGTTTTATTGAATTGCTATAAGACCAATTATGTTATGTTCATATAATGCATATATCCAATCTCACCTAGTGGAATAGGGTTTGTTATTGTTGTTGGGTTGACTTCTCTTTCTTACTATTATTCTCCTCATTGTATGCAACAAGACAATGTTTTATGAATTAATTGTGAATTATTTTTTCTTCAGAAAGAAAACCCTGTATTCCGATTGTAAGAGTTGTTCACCAATATATGATATAGCCAAATGTAGCTTTTACAGATTTTTCAATGTGCTGCTTTCAAGTTCCTGTATGTATATGATATATAATATTATATAATGCATTGATGAGACAAACCGTTTGTAAAAAAATTGATTAGATCAGTTGAATTTTATACATGTGATTATTCCCCTTAATATATGATAAACATGACATGACAGAAAGAGGCAAGCTTCCGAAATGCTCATACTTTTCAATGAGCTAACTTCCTTTTCATGGAGAACTAAATTTGACATTGAACCAACAGCTGGATTTGTCATGACTACATTTAACCAAAAATTTTTAATTTCATCATGAAATCAGATGATGGATATGATCTGTATCTTATGCCTAAATATATCTTTTTATCCACTCTCCCTTTGGTTTTATATTGTCTAGGTCATGCTAGAAGTCTGAGCACATATCTATAGGAGGATGCACTATGTGCATGTAATTATATCCATTTTATCTGCTGTCACTAGTTGACAACATAATTACTCTAATATGAAAGGATATTTAGAACTTAATGTTCGTTAAATTTGGAATAAGTTGTTTTTGAGGATTAATCTGAATTCTTTTCTTACATCTTATGCCTTGTGTTTATTAATTTCAGGTTCAACTGAGCTTATCTTATCCCTTGCGTTTATTAATTTCTGGTTTAACTGAATGTTTTTTCTTTTATTTTTTTTTTTAGGCTGTTACAAAAGCAAAGTTGGGTTATGATCCCCTAGAGGTGAACCCTGAGGACATGGTTCGCTTTGCAAAGGAAAAACCTCAGGTATGAGTGAATCGAATTAATAAATTAATTGGACATGGAAGGTATGCTAGAGATATATTAGATAAAACATTTTCGTTCTTTGAAAATTGGTCAAGTAAATGGTTTTTCTATTTGCTTGTGTGATCTTCATGATTGTGCTCAAAGTGGGTGATGGAACACTTGGTTTTTGGGTGAACAATCAACCCTCTCCCCCCAAGTTCTTCCTTTGGATGTTCTATACTTTCTTGCAGGAAATTGTCATGCTAAGCTTCTAATTGGCCACAAGATGTCTTAATCAGTTTCTTTTTTCTCTTTGATTTTGAATTGTTATTACAGATGATGGCCTCTTATTCCGTTTCTGATGCTGTGGCAACTTATTACTTGTATACAACCTATGTTCATCCCTTTATTTTTTCTCTTGCAACAATTATACCCATGTCACCAGATGAGGTTTTGCGTAAAGGTAGTGGGACCCTCTGTGAAATGTTGCTCATGGTTCAGGTGGGTTCTTAGGCATATTTTTCTGAAATTAAAATGATTTGTGCTTAGTCATTTACTTCAGGTTCTCTACTTTCCCTCATGATTATATTTGCATCTGTTACAGGCATACAAGGCTAATGTGATCTGCCCTAACAAACACCAGTCTGATCGAGAGAAATTTTACAACAATCACCTTCTTGAGAGTGAGACATACATTGGTGGCCATGTGGAATGCCTTGAAAGTGGTGTATTTAGATCTGATCTTCCAACTAGTTTTACACTTGAACCTTCAGCATATGAGGTCTGTCATTCCATTTCCAAGCACTACTGATTATGCAATCATTTTAACAAGGAATGCTATGTCCTGATCTTCTCCTCAGAAAAGAAAATTTGGGGAGGGGCTACCTCCTATGTACATGCATTTTTTATTTGACATATTTTCTGAGAAATGAATATGATATTGCATTTTGAACATGTGCAAAAATGCTTCACTGACCCTGGAGTGGTTTGGATTCCAGCAATTGATCAACAACCTTGATCGAGACCTGCAATATGCTATAAGAGTAGAGGGTAAGATGGACTTGGATTCCATCTCTAATTATGATGAAGTTAAGAATGCTATCATGGAAAAGGTATGGGTTATGATTCTTATCTGGCACAAATTTTTTGTGCTTCAATACTTTCCCATCTTAATGTTTAGATCTTTATGATAAACATTTTAATTTTATTTGTTACAAAGCTTTTGTTTTTAATTTTTCATATGTCATTGCAGCTATAAGATGTATATTTTCTCAACATGCTGTAAAACTGTGACAATTACATCATGCATTCACTTAGAAAAATCCTGACTCATTTCTCCTTAAATGCAGCTTATAAAATTGCGAGACAAGCCAATATGTGAAGAATGCCCCCTCATTTATCATTTGGATGTAGCTGCTATGTATCCAAACATCATCTTAACAAACCGGCTTCAGGTGTGATGATCAATAAACAGTTCTCAAGTCATGTCAGAAATTTTTTGTTTTGAAAAGTCTTTCTGTTTATATTTTACTTTTGCTTTGCGGCAGGATAAACATGCATACAATGAGATATTGAATTATAGAAAAATTTGAGGATAACAAAGAAAAATGAAAATAATTGCATTTGTTTCCCTATCTGTCATTCCTCCTTCCACATCTACACTATTCTTGTATGTCTGATTAATTTTGGTATGAATTCTTTTCTGTACCAATGCCATTCTTTAACTTTGTTTGGCTGCATTTGTAACAAAAGTATCAATTATGTTATGTTTGATACGTCTTTTCTTTTTTTCCTGTGTTGTTGAGAGTTATTATTTTGATAAATATGTATATTATTCCTCCTCCCCTGAAGGAGGGATGGCTGTCAGACTCGTGCTGATTAAAGATTCCCGTGTAATTGCAGCCACCTTCAATAGTTACAGATGAGGTCTGCACTGCATGTGATTTCAACCGTCCTGGAAAGACTTGCCTTCGAAAACTTGAGTGGGTTTGGCGTGGAGAAATTTTCATGGCAAAGAAAAGGTGTGCTTTTCTTTTTGGTTTATATTTGTTGTGAAAATTAGCAGATCTCATCATAGGAGCATATCTCCACAAAATCTAATGATTAACTAGGGTTTTATTTGAACAATTTCAGTGATTATTATCATTTAAAGAAGCAGATTGAGTCTGAGTTTGTTGAAAGTGCTGATAGGCAGTCATCTAAATCATTTCTTGACTTGCCCAAGCCAGAGCAGCAATCTAGGCTTAAAGAACGTCTAAAGAAATACTGCCAGAAGGTTATGAATCTTTTGTTCAACTTGTTTGTTTAAATTATGAATGACATACTAAGTCTTAGTGGCTTGCTCAGGCATATAAACGGGTACTTGATAAGCCAGTAACTGAACTTCGCGAAGCGGGGATCTGCATGCGTGAAAATCCATTTTATGTTGACACTGTTCGCAGGTGAGTTAACATCACCATATATCCATTTTGAATACTTATTGTTACTGTTATTATGCTTTGTAAGGAATAATTATCGGAAAGCATGCACACTTATGTTTATAGTCCATTGAAATTGGAATGTAATTTTTTTACGGCTCATAACTTTAACATTCAAAGTGTTTTTTGCTATATTTTTCATTGGTTGTTACACTAAGCTCTGTTTTTGTTCAACCTTGTTCTAGTTTTCGGGATAGAAGATATGAATACAAAGGTCTTAATAAGGTTTGGAAGGGAAAGTTGTCAGAAGCCAAGGCCAGTGGAAATTCTATTAAGATCCAAGAGGCACAAGTATGAATTGTATTATTTAACATGATGGTTATTGCACGATACCACTGAAGTTGCTATAATGATATGTTGCTGTTTATGGACTTGAGTTAATGTGGTGATTTTCTCTCCAGGACATGGTTGTGCTTTATGATTCATTGCAACTTGCACACAAGTGCATACTGAATTCCTTTTATGGATATGTCATGCGCAAGTAAGTGAAGTGATCTTTGTTGATGTTAAGTTGAATTAAAAAAAAAATAATAATAATAAAAGTAAACTGATCTCCATGCATCCTTGAAATTTCTTTTTTTTTTTCTTACTGACATTTGTTCCTATACTTAATTTGTTATTTATCTCACAGGGGAGCAAGATGGTATTCCATGGAAATGGCTGGGGTTGTTACATATACTGGTGCAAAAATCATTCAGAATGCTCGCTTGCTTGTAGAGAAAATAGGAAAGCCACTTGAATTAGACACGGATGGTATTTGGTGTGCACTTCCCGGCTCTTTTCCAGAAAATTTCACTTTTAAAACAAGGTATGATCTGTTCTTTATTTGGTTATATTTATATGATTAGAGCAGCTTATCATATTTTATTCACCATTTAATTTATTTTAGTAGTGTGAATGTGGTCTACTCTAGAATATCTTTACTTTGTTCTGTTTATAAGTCTATAGTTATAAGTCTAAAGATGCTGACTTATGTTTTATACATTTTAGAGACACAAAGAGGAAATTGACTATTTCATACCCTTGTGTCATGCTTAATGTTGATGTGGCAAGGAATAACACAAATGATCAGTACCAGGTCAGCCTAGAATTTTATTTCTGAATTATTTAAATTGCAATCAATTGCAAGTGTTTCTACTTCTGAGTTTTATAATTTGTACTTATTGGAGCGTAACTACTTGGCTTATGTATGGAGTTCATTCTTTCTAATTCTGAGTTTTTTGACAGACGCTCACTGATCCAGTTAGGAAAGCTTATACCACTCACAGCGAATGCTCTATTGAATTTGAAGTTGATGGACCATACAAGGTATTGTAAAACTGTATTTCAAGGCATTTAATTATATTGCTTTGCGTTATCATGCATGGGTATGATTTGTATGTATTCTTTGATATAGGCAATGATCCTTCCAGCTTCCAAAGAAGAAGGAATTCTAATTAAGAAGCGTTATGCTGTTTTTAATGATGATGGAACTCTAGCAGAGTTGAAAGGTTTTGAGATCAAGCGGAGAGGTGAACTGAAGCTAATAAAAGTTTTCCAGGTATACTGATAAGGACCATTACTGCAAGCACAGAGCCATATGAAAAGATCTGACAATTATGAGGCTACGTATTATATTACACATGATGTGATGTCTCTGACATTAGTCAATGATATAATTGTCATTGCTTACTTTAGACTGGTGTAAAAGGAAATATGCATATTTAGATCTTTTACAGTGGGAGAGGCTTTGCTTATTAGCAGCTAGCAGTTAAGATCTCCCCCCCCCCACAAAAAAAAAATAAAAAAAAATATAAAACAGCTGTTATGAAACATTCGTTCCCATGAATGTAGATATAAAAGTTTTTGAAACTAGTGGATGCCATTGCACTCGATGTGTGTAATAGATCAAAAAAATTTTCTGAATTATTTATATATATACCTTGCTAAGAAGCATATCATGGACAAACACACACTGCAGCACATCCAAGATTTGATCTGTCCCGAAATCTTATGAAGTGTTGTTAGTATCCAGCATGGCTTGACTTTTATTTTGAAGTTTGGACATAATAGCTATCTTATCGTTAATTTGAACATAAATTTTGCAGTATAGCAGGTTTTTCGCTATATATATATATATATTGTTCTCTTGTACTATAAGATGATTCTATTTTGAAACTTGAACTAGCAAATTCAGAATCTGCATATTTGAGTTTCTTTCTTTCATTCATTTGTTGTTAATTTGAAATGTATTTCCTTCTTGCAGGCAGAACTTTTTGACAAGTTTCTTCATGGGTCAACCATAGAGGAATGCTATTCAGCTGTTGCTACTGTGGCAAACCGGTGGCTTGATCTTCTTGATGTATGCTAAAGATTCATGTTTTAGTGTCTATGGCATAAGTGATGTTTTAGGAACTTTGATCTTTGTTCACCAAATGTGCTTTCTTGTGTTCTTTTATCAAATTTGTTGTACTAGTTTGAGGAAGACACTGAGGGTCATGTCCTGATATAACTTTCTACATTCTTATCATGTCTATTTTTGTCTTAGAACCAAGGAAGGGATATTGCAGATAGTGAGTTACTTGATTATATATCAGAATCAAGTACCATGAGCAAGTCTTTAGCTGATTATGGTGAGCAGAAGTCTTGTGCTGTTACCACTGCTAGACGGCTTGCTGACTTTCTTGGTGATGCCATGGTCAAAGATAAAGGTCTCCGATGTCAGTACGTAGTAGCATGTGAACCTAAGGTTTGACTCATCTTAATGAGGAAAATGCATGAACTAAAATTATTTTCCATTCACAAACAACAAATTTTCATCTTTAGCATTGTTTGGTAGCATGGAAGAGTTTTAAATGGAAGTGGAAGAGAAGTGGAAGAGGAAGAGGAAATGGGGTTTTAAAACATAATTATGTACATGGAAGTGGGTCATTTTTATGAAGGACGTGAGGGATGAAGTGGTTCCATGGGCATGAAGGTGGAATTGAGTTCCACAAATTTGGATGGAACAGGATTCTTCAGAGAAGTGAGATCCATTGTACCAAAACAACCTATTTTTCAGTTTCACTTCCGCTTCTCCAATCCCCATTCCATGCTACCAAACAGTTATGTAATGCATGTGTTGAACTTGCACAATAATACGTTTCATTAATAATGAAAATATGATAAAAAAATATTAATCATTTGGAAGAATTGTTGGACTTTGACATCATTTGAAGTTTTAATATGTTATGGTTTGACAATTTAAGTACTGAAGAAACATGATCGCCCTCTTCATTGTTCATTTACTATAATATTCTGAGAGTTTAACTGTAAAATAAACTCCAGGTGATAAAAGATAATTACAACACATTGACAGTATTAAATTAAACTTTCACTCGATCTGTAAAGACTTATCTTTAAAATATTTGGCAACTTTCTTGGGAGGACCAGATGATAGTTGGGTGGTCAACATAACCAAGAAGAATACGGGATTTAAAATTAAGAAATCTTTCACATAAGCAATTACATGGATTAGTGTACATAACTATGTATGTCATTAGAGCATATGCATTGTTATTTCTTATTTCATTTTTAAATTCTTTTTCCTCACGATTGCATTTTCATCTTCAAATTCTTATCTGCTTTTTCATTGCTTAGTCAGTAGTGTCTTACAAATATTTGTCTGAGCAGGGAACACCTGTAAGTGAGCGTGCTGTTCCTGTGGCAATATTTGAAACTGATGCTGGTAAATTTTGCTCTTATTTTTGGTAGCATAAACTCTTTTGGACATTCTAAAGAGGTACATGCCTAAAATTTGCAGAAGTAATGAAGTTCTATGTCCGAAAATGGTGCAAGGTCTCAGCTGATGTTGGCATTCGATCCATAGTTGATTGGTCCTATTATAGGCAACGGCTGAGCTCTGCAATTCAAAAAATTATCACCATTCCTGCGGCAATGCAGAAGGTTTATCAAAATATTGCTTTTTTTTTAAATTACTTTGGCATGTTGCAACTATAAAATTCTCTTTTTTTAAAGGCTGAAAGGGAGTTGTATTCCTTCAGGTTGCAAATCCTGTCCCAAGGGTGGTTCATCCTGATTGGTTGCATAAGAAGGTTCGGGAGAAGCAGGACAAATTTCGCCAACGAAAATTGGTTGATGTCTTTTATTGTATGAACAGGGATGAACTCTCTAAAAAGCAAAGTAATTCTGGTAGTGTCTGCCATGTTATGGATGGAGAAGCTATTAATGACTTGGAGGATTTTGGTAACAAGACCAGGAATAATATTAGCGGACCTAGACCAATTATGCGGCATTATGAAGCTAATAATGAACAGCACTCGGTGAAGCCTTATGGCATAGAAGATTCTGAGCAAAAATGTAATGATCATGGTAGTGAGCATCAGCTACCAGCACAGTTAGAACCCAATGGATTGTCATCTGAAAATGTTGACAAAACAGCAGATTATCAAGGATGGCTCCAGACGAAGAAGAGAAAGTGGAAAAATATAATAGCTAAAAGAAAGAAGCAAAGGTAAAAATTATTCATGGCTACAAACATTTAAAGGTTCATACTAATCAATATCTATGAAGTTATTTGGATCTGGTCTTTCTCGAGGGAGTCTCCAGAGATAATCTTTTATGTTGGTTGAATGAGTAAAAAAATTGGCAATATAGGAAATGATTAAGTTTTGTTATATTACGCCCTTAGTTATATTAGTAACTGTACGGGATCATGTCATGCCCAGTATTATATTATGCCCAGAACATTGCTAGTCTTTTCCTAGACAAATTCCTGCTCGAGTAATAGTACTTGAACCTACAACTTTTCCTACAATGTTCTCACCCTTGTTTCTGAGTAATTTTTGTACTGTTTAAAAGGATTAGTCTTGGTCTGAGTTTTTCCTTCACTGTTCAACAATAACTCATTATTTTCGTATCATGTTTTTGGCTTTTAATTAATTTGGTGGCGTGCCACAAATTTTTCAGCAAACCTTCTATAATGGCCATCACACAGTTTTCTGTCTTTTCATCTTGATATCATTGTTGTAAGCTGGTGCGCAACATGCTGGATCTATTCATCAACTTCCTTTGACTCTTCTAATCCCTTATGAAAACAAAACTTTAATTGAAGGTAGAGGTGTTATGGCAAGTATCCTTTCACGTACTCATAAAATGCGTTACTCAGATCAATGAGAAAAGACAATCAATAACATGTGCTTGTATAAACCCCTTGGCTACATGTGTGGTATTGTGGCAATTGATACTGCCATCTGGTTTGTATTTTGCTGTAAAAATATATTCGTGAACTACAGTAGGCTTCTCAAGTAAAAGTTCAACAATATTCCATGTCTTGTTTTTCATTAGAGCATCTAATGATTGTCTCTGTGATGAAGGACTTATCTTTGCGTATTTTCAATCTAATCTGCGATGAAAGACTTATCTTTGTGTATTTACAATCTAATTATTCAGATATCTAAAACTTGAGATATATGCAGATAGGCCTTTTTTTTAGGCCAACGCAAATAGGCTGATTTAAAATCTCAATGTCTGACTTTAATGGAACCTGTGGTGCCAGTAAATGGGCATTTGTGAATGGTTATATTATATGATTGGCATTGTTGAGGACCTATTGCTTTTTTGGTTAAGTTTCAAGTTTGGAAGTGGACAAAGATCCTACAATCATTATGGATGCTTAAATGTTCATAGTTTTGGTTTGAACTCCTAACTCATTTGAATCCTCAGATATTATTGCTTGGCATGCTACTAAGAAAGAAGTTTGATTTTGTTAGATTGGAGAATTCAAAGAAATCAGACTGTGCTGATGGCACTCTTGAAAGACTGAGAAATAAGATAGATCATAAAGCTACAGGAAGAAGTAATGTTGATTCATATTTCAAAAGGCAGGAGGTAGTACTGACGCGTTCCCATTGGCAGGTGAGGGAGTTGAACTTTAGAATTAGGTGGTCAATTGTCAATTTCAAAATATGAATTGAATGATTTTTTAATTCTTTTTCCTAATCTTTCTGTTGTTCAGATAATACAGCTAATTCACAGTTCACAGATGGGTCAATTTTTTGCTTGGGTTGTTGTCGATGGGGTTATGCTAAAGATTCCAGTTTCACTTCCTAGGGTCTTTTACCTCAATTCTAGGTCACCAATTACTGAGCAGTTTATGGGTAAACGTGTCAATAAGGCTCTTCCACATGGAAGGCATAGCTATAACCTGTATGAGGTACCTACCTTTTTTTTTTTTTTGCTTTTATGGATCTTATTCTTTATTTATTTATATTTTTCTCATTGGAAGGGCATAATAGAGGTGTTGGAATTTCATAGGTTACAATTAATGAAGTTCAATTTAAAGAAACGAGCAGAAAGCTTGCAGCTCTTCTGGCAGATCCTGACATTGAGGTATGCATATTCATTATCATCAAAAATCATATTTCCTTTTTTGTTTGTTACATGTGGAGATTACTGCTATTTCACTCGTCATTTCTTTGATGATATGCTGTATTTTCAAGTCAAGATATAATTGGTTGTTACATTTGAGTGAAAGAGAATTTGTTGAATTTTTGTGTTGCATGTCATCTGTTGTTTAGGGTCGAATTTGTTGCTTCTTTTTTCTCAGACAGAGAGAGAGAGAGAGAGAGAATTCGTTACTTGTTTTAACTTTTACCTCCATTACTACCATAAAGTGGGAAAAGGAATTCTTGTACTTGGCTAATTATGGTCTAGAGCTTATTTTACCTGTTTAAAATGTACCATGCCGATTATTTATGATTAGTAAAGTTATACTGAATTAAAGTTGAAGGATACAATTCTATTGTCAGGGAATATATGAAACAAAAGTGCCACTAGAGTTTAATGCCATAGTCCAGCTTGGCTGTGTATGCAAGGTGGACAAAACTGCTAAAAAGCGTAATCTTCAGGAATCATGGAATCTGAGTGAATTGCACATGAAGACCACTACAGAATGCTCTTATCTTGAACAATCCATATCCTTCTTTTACTTGTATCATAGGTAAGTAGTGCTCCAATAACAACAGAGGCATTGTTCTATTACATTCACTCGTGGCACCATAATGATTGTTTTGTTTTGCTTCAAGCAGTCAAAGATGAATGGGTTTTAATGCTAAATTAGAAAGCATATTATTTCATTGTCTCTTATTTTACCGAAGCATAAATATGCTCAATGTGCAGTCATGTTACGTTAATGATGAAAGTTCTTTTGGCATTGAACATATTGGGTAGTGGGATTATTTTGGTGAGATGGATCTTCTGGGCAATACTATAGCAATGGTGATTGAAATAACAAAAGAAGTCGGACAGTCAGTGTGGGCCCAGTAATTCTGGAGAAATAATGCTGTACGAGTTGTCTCTGTTATGCCCATATGCTGTTCATATGAGTAGTATGTTGGTCATATAGCTGGAGCTCTTATTCTCTCGAAAGTTTTCTACTTATTATTCTTTTCCCTCCACTATCTATAAAGGGTGCTTCTTCGTATTTGTATTGCATAATCCTGTACTTTGGGAATATTTCCCATGCCCTTCTTGTGCTTTGCACTTTATCTTTGGAGGCAACTAGTCACTCTCTCTCTCTCTCTCTCTAAACATCAGCATGTCTGAGGGGCGGGCTATATACGTTGGATATTTTCCTGCATCAAAAGCAATATCTGTTGTGGTAGTTAATCCGTACCAAAACAAAGACTTATCTCCGGTATTTCTTGAAAGACAATTCCGTGATGCTTGTGAAGCTTTGTCTACTGAGGCGCCTCCCAAAAATGGTATCAGATTTAAGGTAAGCTGCAACACACCTACTATATTTAGTCTTCATCGTTGCAGTTGATCTTACCTCTTGGTATTTTATCAATTTTATTTCTCCATGTATCTATTTACTTATCCTACTTCGTATTTACAAATATATGTTACTTTTAGGTGGACTATGTTTTGCATGTCAAGGATGCTGAAACGATGATGCAAAGATTGATAAATGATCAAAGGTTTTATTTCACATTGATCTCAGTTTACAGTTGTTCTTTTTTTTTTTGGGAGGAAAATACATTTTTTTGTTTGTCACTATCTTCCTTGTAACTTGTAAGCTTTCAGGGTGTGACGTTCAAGAAACTAATCACAAAATAAGTTTTCTTTAAATACATTAGACGGTTATTCGTCAATGTGCACAGAATCCTCTGGCTAGTTAATGCAATAGAGTATTCACCTTGGTTATTACCTCAGGGGTTATAATATTATAGATCTGTATAAAAGAGAACATATCATCATAGTGTTATATTCAAATTAAACACGTGCAGAAGCAAGAGGCAAGCAAGATTCTGAATCTGTAGTATATTAGTCGACACCCTGTTCTTATAGCTTAACTCAGTTCAGATAGGATGCCCCAGATAAAATACGTTTCACACTCTAGCGCATTACAACATCAGCATTGGTACAACATCACAGTATCACAACTACTGAGCTTCCTGCTTATCACAACCACACAGCACAAGACTCTAGAACTTGACAAAACACAAGACTAAGGGTAAAAGACATGTCCTGGGTTTTGAGAGGCTCGCTCTCTCCCAACTTTACTCCAATAATATTTTCCAACTATTTCCATTATTTGAAGATTTTTGAATATTTTTCTCAATTGTATTCATCTCAATGGAGGAGGAGAAATATATATATAGCAAATACAATCAGGCCCATTAACAAGAGGCCGAAAAAATAGGGATACACGAGAAGAAAAAAGGAAACAAATAAATGACTAATCTGCCCTATTAAATTCTAATAATTACAGAATATTATTATAATTATTGCCAAATTCCTATACTTCCCCTCAAGTTGGATCATAGATGTTAATCATGTCTAACTTGCCAACAAAATACTCAAATTTATCCCCAGGTAGTCCTTTGGTGAGAATATCTGTTGTTTGTTCCTTGGAAGGAACATAGGTAATACTAATTATGCCATTATCAATGTTTTCTCTTATGAAGTGCTGATCAATTTCAACATGTTTAGTTCTATCATGTTGAACAAGGTTATGAGAGATGTTAATAGCAACCATGTTGCCAGAGTGAAGCTTGATAGGTAGGTTCACACTCTTCTTTAACTCTTCAAGCACTCACTTCAGCCATGTACCTTCACATATTCCAAGTACAACTACTTTAAATTCAGCCTCCGCACTACTCCTTGCTACTATACTTTGTTTCTTACTTCTCCATGTGAGTAGATTCCCCCAGACAAATGTATAGTATCCAGAGGTGGATTTTCTATCCTCTTGATCACCTGCCCAGTCTACATTAGTAAAAATTTCCACATTTCATTTTTCAAACTTGAATAAAAGCCCATGACCTAGAGATCCTTTCAAGTATATGAGAATCCTGTATACTTCATTCAAGTGTTTTTGTTTTGGATCATGAGTGTTGGCTGACCACACTAATTGCAAAGGCAATATTTGGTCAAATGTGAGATAAATATATTGGCTTCCCAACCATGTGTTGATATCGCCCCATGTCTACTGACTTGCCCAAGTCCTCTTCATCATTGATTTTTTCCACTCTAATAGGAGTGTCACTAGGCTTGCATCCTAACATGCCAGTCTCTTTTAGGAGATCTAAAATGTACTTCCTTTGAGAGATGTAAATCCCTTTCTTCGATTGAGCAACCTCCATCCCAAGAAAATATCTCATCTCCTTGAGATCTTTTATTTTGAATTCTTGAGCAAGAGCGGCCTTGATATGTTCAATCTCCTCTAGGTTGTCTCCTGTAAGTACTATGTCATCAACATAAATTGCTAAAACTGTTACATTACATTTTTTATGTTTGAAGAACAAGGTATGATCACTTTGTCCTTGAGCATATCCTTGTTTTTTCAAGATGCGTGTGAATCTTTCAAACCATGCCCGAGGAGATTATTTTAGCCCATATAGTGACTTTTTCAACTTGCACACTTGATTCGGTTTCTTCCCAGGGAACCTTGGAGGCAATTTCATGCAAACCTCTTCCTTGAGTTTTCCATTGAGGAAGGCATTCTTCACATCTAGTTGGTGTAGAGGCCAATCCAGATTAATTGCTAGAGAAAATAGAATTCTCACTATATTGAGCTTAGCTACTGGTGCAAAGGTCTCAGTATAGTCTGCCTCAAACTTGAGAGAACCCATTGGCCATAAGTCTAACTTTGTATTTATCAAGACTCCCATTTGCATTGTATTTTGAAGTAAACACCCATTTACAACTGACTGGTTTTTCTCCTTTAGGAAGATCACCAATGACCCAGGTGTCATTCCTTTCCAGGGCCTCCATTTTCTCCATCACTTCTTGTCGCCACTTAAGTACAGGCATAGCCTTATCAATATTGCTTGGTACCCAGACACTATCAAGGTGAGTAACAAAAGCACAATACTTAGAGGAAAGGGCTTGGTAGGAAACCAACCTTTTTATAGGATGCCGTGTACAAGATCTAAGTTTCTTCCTTATCACAATAGGAATATCCAATTTGTCTGCCATATCTCCTTCTTGCTCAATCATCTTCCCATCACTATCTATATTGGCTCTATTCTCCATTGGATCTACTGCTGATTCAGATTCTTGATGAGTGCTAGGAGCCTCGAACACATTACTTGTCTTGTGTTTTTGAGTGTAGACCTTAACAGATGGTTCAATGACTCCCCTTGGATTAGATTTTTTCATGGGGCTAGTTTTATCATGCGGAGTTATAGACTCAGTCTCAATGTTCAGAGTAGGTGGCTCAGGTTCAAATATAGGTGGTTCAGGTTCAAGAATCGCATTGTTAGGGATGATGGTGGTCTGAAATTCACTCTAACTCTCCCCCTAAATTGAAGATGAAGTGTAGTATAGGACATCTTCATGGAAGGTAACATCACGTGACATAAAGACGTTTCGTAGTGGGATCAAAACATTTGTATCCCTTTTGAGAGGCAGAGTAGCCAAGAAATATGCAGCAGACAACCTTACGGTCAAGCTTAGTTCTATGATGAAGATAAACATATGTTGTGCAACTAAAGACTCTCAAGGGTAAAGTATTCTCTAGGTAAGCAATAGTATAGGTAGAGTGAAGAACTTGTAAAGGTGTTTTGGAGGACAAGGTTTTGCTGGGTAAGCGATTGATAAGAAAAATACTTATAAGAATAGCATCATCCCAATGATACTTTGGAACGTTATTGCTGAACATGAGAGCACGTGTAGTTTCAAGAATGTGCCTATTTTTTCGTTCTACAATTCCATTTTGTTGTGGACTATGAGGGTAGGTGCTTTTATGGATGATGCCATGACTAGTGAGAAAGTTGGATAGGGATTTGTTGAAGCACTCAGTACCATTGTCAGTAAGTAGAATTTTAATGTTCGTTTGAAATTGAGTTTGGATCATGTGATAAAAATCAATGAAAGTTTGGTAAACATCAATTTTATCTTTCAGTAAGAATATGCTACTTACACATGTATGGTCGTCAATGAAGGTTATGAACCATTTGGAGTGTGTTCGGTTGGGAGTGCGAGAGGGTCCCCACAAGTCACTGTGTATGAGATTAAAGGGTTGTGATGCATAGTACTCAATGCAAGGAAAAGACTTTATGATGTTTGGCAAGTTCATAAGATTCGCAATGAAATTGTGAGCAATCTTTATTTAAACAAATTGAAGGAAACATTTGAGACATAGAATGAAAATTAGGATGTCCCAAGTGTTTGTGCCATAGCTCCAATTCACTAGTCCTAGGGAGGGATACTTTATTACAAGTTCTGTTTTGTCTAACACCACTTTCATCTAGGTAGTAAAGTCCATCAAACTCTTTAGCACTACCAATCGTCATCTCCGTCAGCAGATCCTGAAAAAGATAGTGTGTGAAAAAGAAGTTAGCATAACATCTTTCTTCTTGGGCTAACTGACTTACTAATTGTAAACTACACTTCAAATTCGGAACATGAAGCACATAATTGAGTGTGAGAGTGGGTGACAACTTAATACTACCAGTACCAGCAACCACAAAGTCAGTAGCATCTGCAATGGTTACAACAATTCTTTTCTTACAAGTAGTATAAGAGGTAAATAATGTAATGTCATCAGTGATGTGATCGGAAGCACCGGAATCAACAATCCAACAATGTTCGGAACTCATACCTTTAATAATATCCAGTGCCTTTGAAAAATTACCTCTCTTAACAACAAAAGCAACAGGCTGGTGATGTGGTTGTTGATTGCCCTACAATGCTGTTAGCATATCCAATAGTTTACTAATTTGATTGTCTTGCAGTGAATTTGTCGGACTTGGTTCCTCATTTTTTAATGCTTCAGCAACATATCCCGACCTTTGCCTTTCTTAGGCTTCCAGTCTGGTGGTTTACCTTGAAGGTCCCAACAAGTGTCTTTAGTGTGGCCTATTTTCTTACAATGTTCACAGATTGGTCTCCCCTTGTTATTTTTCTGATTTGTGACACGAACAGCAAGTGCAAATGACTCAGTTGTATTTGTTCGAGGAAGAGAATCATCTTTCAGCATGCCTTGAAGCTTCCCTTTTGACAATAGTGAATGCTTTACAGACTGAAGGTAAGGGTTCCAGACTTAGAATTCGACCACGTACATCATCAAGATCAGAATTCAGACCTGCAAGGAATTCGAACAAGTGTTCTTTCTCAACTCGTTTGTGACATTGAGCATTATCATCAGCACATCTCCACTCTTCATCAGTATTCAAATCAAGTTTTTACCAAAGATATACTTTCTCGAGATAATAGTCACTTAGACTTCGTGACCCCTGTTTCAACTCCAAAGCTTTGTTTTGATTTCAAACACTTGTGATGCATTTTACCCATCATAGTAAGCTTCACGGACGGCCTCCAATATTTCATGAGCTGTGGGAGGAACATGAAGCTCTTCTTGATTGCAGGAAGCATGGTGTTAACGAGCCAAGATGAAACCATGGAGTTTTTTGATTTCTAGAGTTTCATGGCTATCATATAGAGAACTCGTTGGAGATGTACCCACGCTTACCTCAACCTTCAATCGCCAACTTCATTGACTGGGCCCATTCACGGTAGTTTTCTCCATTGAGTTTCTCCAGTATAATCATCTGACTCAAGACTGTCGGACCTTCAAGATTGGGTGCCGTGACGTGACCCAAAGTAGACTTGGACGATTCCTCTGGTTCTAGGTGCGGCATCTCCATCGTTGTGGAAGGACTTGATCGCAGCGGCTAATGGAAGATGAGCCAACGATTTGAAGTCATTGATTCAGCGCCATAGTTGTTTCGAACCATAGCTTGGATACCATGAAGATTTTTTAATATTTTTCTCAATTGTATTCATCTCAATGGAGAAGGAGAAATATATACAGCAAAATACAATCAGGCCCATTAATAAGAGGCCAAAAAAATAGGATACACAAGAAGAAAAAAGGAAACAACTAAATGACTAATATGCCCTATTAAATTCTAATAATTACAGAATATTATTATAATTATTGCCAAATTCCTACATTTTTCCTCATGAAATCTCCCTCCCTTGTGCCCATCTTCATCTGTCCATTTCAGGTGTATACCCTCGCACATTCTGCTTGACCAACATGCCCAATTCCATCACTCTGTTTCCTGCTATATGTTTTGGTGGCAGTGGTGGGTTGAGCAAACCTTTCAAGTTCATTTATGAATATGGTTAGAACCAGATGCCAACCAATAGGCTCCATACCTGACACCATTATGTATAACGAAAGGTCATCCTATGGCTTTTCATGGATGTCAGTGTTTAGAAAACTGAGCTGGTTGTTTGCTTTGGTGTTTGTGCGAGCCTGGTCGAACCATAGATTTTCTATTTTTTGCTAATTTTGAATTGTTTTTATGGGTTATTGACCAATTTTCTTTTTAGTTGCTTCACTCCATAATATAGATCAAACCAAGGACCAATTTTCTAGTTGAGCCAGTTGGTTTGATTTTCATAACCTTGATTTATATTAACCTACAACTCTTTTGGGCATAATATTATATTTTCCAACTCTATTCTTTTTCAAATTTCTATATAAGCTTTCCAGATATCAAATCTTATTTAGCTGTGATAGTTCCTTTAGATTAGACTACTTTGCTCCTCTAATATTCTTGGTTATAGGAATGAGCATCATGGGCCTATGGTTGCTGTCATTGAATGTCCAAATCCCCAGCTAATGAAATTGGCTATCCGAGCTCTAGATGATTTTCCATGCCTGAACATCCCTTCTAATGCACGTGATAGTCAGTACCAGGTAAAATGCTCCATAGCTCTGATCCTTCTCGTGCGTATTAGCATATGCAGACTCTTTTATGTTTCTTTGTATGTCATTTTTCTTATTACAATTATTACTTCATCGTTGTCTGGGCTGCACGTTAGGGTTGACACATTAGTACTTTCTGCACATGGCATAATCCCAGCGTATAAATTCTGTTGTTTGATTTTGGCTCCTTTTAGATTCTTGGATGGCAACAAGTTGCTGCAAAAACTGGAATACATCGCTGCGCTGCTTCAGTCCAGTGGCTCAATGAGAGAATTTCTCTCTCAAGATATGCTCATGTATGCATTTCAAATCTTTAACAGCACATATCTTTTTGTTGTCTTCATAGTCAATGTATTTCCTAACTTTTCTGTTACAGGTACCGTTAGGGAATTTTGAACTTGACTGGCTCATATTTACAGCAGACGTCTTCTTTTCCAGAGCATTGAGGGATAATCAACAGGTTGTCATTTTCCTTCGAAGTTCTATGTTTTACCTTGTCTTAGATTATAATGTTTCCTCTGCCCTGAAATAGATGATTTTTCTTAGTCATGTTTAAAGTTCATTCCTATAGGTACTTTGGATATCCGATGATGGGCTTCCTGATTTAGGCGGAGTTAATGAAGAAGAGACATGTTTTGCTGATGAGGTCTGTCTTAGATATTTAACTTAGTTTTATTGTGGTCCAATTTCTGTTGAGCTCTATTGTTTGCTTCTCTTGACTTTTTCCTCGAACCATAGTAGTGGAGCAAGTGAAATTTGTTCTTCATTTCTTAAGCATGCACTATTTATAATATTAGTAGTTGTAGTAGTAGTAATAATTGATTTCTCAGCATGCATTTTTTTTTTTTTGAAACTGAATGCTGTGCCTTCTGGGAATAGGTCCCCCAACCTGTTCTTACCTACCCTGGAGCTTACAGAAAAGTTACAGTAGAGCTAAAGGTTTGTATGTCTATCTTTACTTGATTTCACCAATTGAACCAAGTTTGTAAAAGTTAGCAAGGATATAATTTTCTGCAGATTCACCACCTGGCCGTAGATGCTCTTCTGAAAAGCAACCAAGTCAATGAGTTTGAAGGAGGTGCTTTGTTAGGATTTGATCATGAAATAAACTCTGGACCGTTTGCCATAAATGATCAGAATGGCATTGATGAGGCTACCTCATGTGCACGTGCTTTTCGAGTCTTAAAGCAGTTAATCCAACGGTGCGTTGCAGATGCAGTTACATCTGGAAATGTATATGCTGATGCAATACTACAGCATCTATATCGATGGCTATGCAGGTTCAAGTTTATTTATTTATTTATTTATTTATTTCCCATTGTCATCTGTTTGGCTTAATCACTTCTTTCCTTCTCAAATTCCAGTCCTCAATCAAAACTTCACGACCCAGCTCTTCACCAATTACTCCACAAGGTAAAGCTATTATACATTAAAAGGTGCTGTATGATGCACGCAACACTAACACATGATGAATTTTATTTACTTTTTCCTTTCCTTTTCTTAAATTCGTTCACTTTCTCCACCAAAATGTGATGGTAAATTCAAAATTGCAAATTGACTTGAATCATTTAGGTTTTTCTAAGATGTTAAAGCTTTTCCTTATTGTTAATTGTCCCCCCACCCCCTCTAATTTTAGCATGTTTAAATCATGGCATTTGTGAATTATGTATGTGGGATAAAATCTTTATTTTTTCCTGTGAATTGCATCGATATTTATAGGTCATGCAGAAGGTTTTTGCATTGCTGTTGGCGGAGCTCCGTAAATTGGGTGCATCAATTGTTTTTGCAAACTTTTCAAAAATAATTGTAGACACGGGAAAATATGATCTGTCTGCAGCCAAAGCTTACTGTGATAGCTTGTTACGAACTCTACAATCTAGGTTTGTCTCCTCATTGCCATAGAAATTATGACAGTTATCTATGATATTATCAGATTCTTTTATCCAAGATAACAAAAATGCACAGTAAAGGCAACAAAAGTTGAACAGTTTCCTGATGAGCCTCTTTTCTTGTGGAATAAGAATAACCACTTGGGCCGGGGGGGTGTTTGGGCAAAATGATCTCTTTTTATCCTCACTAATCCATTGGTGATTGATAGTTCATACCCTTTCTAACCTTTGGTATTGCCTATTCTGTAGAGATTTATTTGAGTGGATTGAACTTGAACCACTTCAGTTCTGGAGCTCATTGCTATTCATGGATCAGGTTTGGTCAGCCTTTTTGTCCTCTGTTGTTTAGCCTGCACTATACATGTGTTTTGGGTGCAAGAGTTTCTACGTTCCTTCTTTTTACAAATTGTTGATGAAGCAATCATACATAGCCTAGGGGATTCTTTGCTAGTTTGAACTGAGGTGCTTTGTGAGTTAAAACTGGCCTGCCACGCATATTTTATTACTGTAACTGTTTTGACTTCACTGGAATTCTATGTTGATGCCTTATGCTGTCTCGGGACTATCGGTTTTACTTCTTTTCTACAAAATCTTGATGTCAAACATGGCTCAAAAGTTATGTTGGATTGAAGTTGTACTGCTGATATTATAATATTTATACACAGGAGCTAATGCTTGGGCGGAAAATTTGTAGCATAACTGAATCACACAAGTTTAAGAATGCAAGGTCACTTTCTTCCAATATTAGAAAGAAATTCAGTAACATGTAATATTGACATTTTTAGTGTACTCTAGTCTATTTCTGTCATGTAGGGCAACGTTTTGAATTTTATGCCATAATGGTGCTAAAGGTTCTTCGGAGTGTCCTTTTAAAAAGGAAAAAATTTTCTTGATTGATGAAGCTAGTACCAGATTTGTTAATCGCTTAGACGATTTTACTTCATCAGTCAAATATTCATATCACGCTTTACATTTATTGAGCGAGGATATGCAAATTTGACATGATGTGGAATGCCTATTGATGACCAAATGATGAACGCATCTTATACTTGTGATTTTCTTTATCTTTATGTACTTTGAATTGGATCTAGTTTTGCTGTCTTGTCATCATTTCATTTTTCCATTGTTTACTACAATTCAAACTAGCATATAATTTATACTGACAGAGTCATTCTGCTTTACCTTTTGTAGTATAACTATGGTGGAATTCCAGCAAAATCTGATGAGGCTATAAATGACGAATATCGAGTTGACATTATATCGAGTTGGAACATTGCCGAATACTTACCAAAGAAAATCCAGGTACATTCATAGGATGAATTGTGGTATGAATATAAAAAGTTAATACAGGAAAATAACCCTTAACATGATATTAGGTTGTTAGTCGGTTATCCTTTTAACATGAGAGTTGATTGTTTTTTTGGATTCCTGTTTTCCGGAATTCTTCTGGCTTTCTACAGGACCATTTTGTTTGCATTGTTTCTGAATTCATGTACATTCCCTGGAAGTATATGGCTTCATCACAAAATGGCGACTCCTGCACCCCATCAATCACTGCTGGGCCTGCAGAGAAATTCGAATCACTTGTGACAGAATATATTAAAGGGCAGGTATAGTAGTGAAATTTATTTACGGTGTGTGACTTTTTTGTTTCCACATATTGGTTCTCATTCTATTCTGCAGATCAGCTCTAACTTCACAGACAAACTTCTGGGAATTGTTCGCGATATTATGCATCATATGAAGGAGATAAGACTAGGAAAAGACCAGAATGCATCGTCTGGCAACCCTCAACTTGCAGCTGATTTCCACAAAGGGGATGCAGCCTTGGAATTTATCAAGCATGTCTGTGCCGTCCTGGCCCTGGACCAGAGCGTGCAGCATGATGTTCTGGTAATATCTAACGAATAATTCCTCATCATGAAATAATAAATAAATTAACTATTCTAAGTCAACTGCTGCATAATAGGCCAATAATGGGAAGATGATGGTAAGTTAGGGGTTGGGTAGTATTATCTACTCTCCAATCAAGACAAAAATAGAAGTTAAACAGCAGTGTTCATAACCATAAATGTTGATTTCTTGCCTAAATAACTTGAACTGGATTAACTTATTTGGCAGCAAATCTTCTTGTTCCTACACCATGGTTAGCAAAGTAACGATTCTGTTTGTCCTTTGCTTGGTAGGTCATGAGAAAGAATTTGTTGAGATTTGTTCGTGTCAGGGAGTTCGCACCAGAAGCTGAGTTTCGTGATCTGAGTCATTCGTTCATATTACCCAATGTCATCTGCAGGTAACAAGGTTATATACTTATATATTAGTATTGTTAATTAATTAATAAACAATTATACTTAAAAGTTCGCTGGTCCTCGCAGTATCTTCTAAAAATCAACCACATAATAGGCATGCATATTTTTTCTTCGTATGGTTTAGTTGAGAGTCAGGTAAAGTAGCAGCTTGCCTTCGTTGAATATGGGTATTATCAGCTATTTGTTTGCCAATTATATCGATTTGAATTTTCTGAGAAAAGTGCACCAAATTCCTATTGGGTATTGTTATTATTTGTGCTTTAAAATTCATTAGAAGAGATTAAATAAGAGTAAGAGGGAGTAAAAGAATCAAATTCATTTCCCCAATTTGTTTCATTCTTGGACCTTCATCCCTGGCAACTGGTGGCAAAATCTTTTTGAGTCTCCCTTGTTTTTCACTCAAAATATAGTCTACACCCACCCGTTACAGCTCAAACTCTACCTCTCATCATTGCCCATCCAAACTCAGTCGATCATCGTTGCCTAATGGTTGGTCAACCATGGCCAAAGAGAGAGAGAAACAGAGAAAAAGAGACTTGTTTTCCCATTATTAACATGACTTTCCAATCTTTTTTGGACAGCTATTGCAATGATTGCAGAGACTTGGATTTGTGCCGTGACTCAGCTTTACTGAGTCAGGAGTGGCATTGCGGCGTGCCGCAGTGTGGGCAGCCATACGATCGTGAAGTGATGGAAAATGCACTTCTCCAGATTGTACGGCAGAGAGAACGACTATACCACTTGCAAGATCTGGTGTGTGTTAGATGTCACCAGGTGAAAGCTGCTCATTTAGCTGAGCAGTGTGCTTGCGCAGGGTCATACATGTGCAAGGAAGATAGAGCTGAATTCCGTAAAAAGATGCAAATTTTCTACAACATCGCTGCTCGCCAAAAATTCCAACTCCTTAAAGAATGCACCTCATGGATTCTAGAATTGAGATAGGTCTTGGTCCTAACATTTAATTGCCCAGGGTCACTGCAGGGATCGTAAAAGAAATTCCTGGGCATTAACATGCGTCAAATTGCCTTGCAGAGGAGAGGAAAACATGAGTCAAAATTCAAACGGGTGCTTGGTTGGCCTACTTAATATGTATATAAATTATTTATACATATACTCTTTTACTCGGCTAGCCATTGAGGTATAGAAAATATGTATATAAATTATTTATACAGATTAATGTGTTGTGGCATTCCGAAAACTATCCTTTCTCTAATAAGGTGGAAAGGAGGCAGAATGACAAATAAATCTCCTTAAAATGAACAAATGGCAAAATAATACCACGAAATAAGGTAATTATTTTGAAAATTTCTAGGGACTCATAAATTTGCTGCAAAATTGTAATTTTCTGACTAAAAATAATAAAATGTGTAGTTGTTAAAACAAATAAATGTTGTAAATATAAATAAATGTAATTATTAATACATGATTAAATTGAAGTTATGACTAATTGAAACTATATTGTTAATACTTAAATGGTTAATATAGCAAATATACTTATCGTATAACTAAATTAACTACATATTTTATATTAACTTTATCTTTGTCATTAACAATTATATATTAATTATATTTTTCATTATTTTACTTAGAGTCAAAAATATAATCTCAGGAAAAAAATTATGTTAGGTAAGTTTCTAAGGATTTAAAAATAATTACCGCATTTTGTGATATTTATATGTCATTTATCTATTTTGATAGGATTTGGCCAAAAAAAAGGATAGGATTTATTTGTCATTCTCCCTTAAAAAAAAACTAGAAAAGTAATTTAAAATCATCAAGCTTGTTTGATTGTTTATTTTTTTGTTTTTAAAAACTAATTTTTTAAATTAATTTGTAAAGTAAAATAAAAGAAAAACATGTTTAATTACATTAATTTCAAAACAATTGAGTTAAAAAGAATCTTTTTTTAATAAAAAGTCAAATATGTATAATAAAATGATAAAGAGAAAAAGTCAGACAATAACTTGTATTTAAAGAAAAAAAAGTAGTGAAAAAGTCCGATGAACATGTGTAGTGACATCAAGAGATAGACTTCTCATTGAAAGGTTGCAAAAGATATGCAATGTCATGAGTCCAAGATTCCGGCAAAAGACTCCCAACTTCATCCTTTAACCTAGTTCCAAATTAGAGAAAGTGAATCCTCCCAAGGTCATCCAAATTTCAATTCTAACCTTTGTAATATTGGTGAATCCAATAAAGTAAACTACGAATATGTGCAATGAGAAATCCTTGTGACTTCAAAAAAGGAGGGGGGAAAATCTGTTTGAAAAGAAAGTCTTTCATCATCAAGCTTATCACTGGCTATCATTGATCATTGCCACCTGCCACCATCAATCTTTTGTCACCTCCAGTAACCATTGCTCGCCAACCACCACAATAGTGGTTGGTGTTGTCAACCTATTGTATTTGTTAGCCATAGCTAAATAGTGGCTACTAACCAGGATGGTTGATGGTGGCCAACGACAAGAGGGAGCAATGGTTCATAGTGGCTGGCAAGGTGGAGCCACATTAACTTGAGGGGCATAAATGCACCTTCTAATTTTGGAAAAAATTATAAATGGGATATGTAGATTTTGCAATTTCGCATCTTCTACTTTTGATATTTTATACCCACTAAACCAAATAAAAAATATTTAGGCTTTAAAGATTTATTAGACATATAATATTTTTAATAATCTAGATAAAATATGAAAAATATATTTATAATAAAAGACATCAACATGTTCAATATAATTTTTTAAAATAAAAAATGATAATTAATCTATTTATATTATTACAATTTTAGTCTTAGCAAAACTATTATTTTAAAAAAAATTAATTTTTTTTTATTAAAATATTCTGCATCCCTGGTTATGAGTCCTGGCTCTGCCATGGGTGGTTAGGGTGGTTGTGGTGGTCATTGGCAATGATTAATGGTGATGCCTAGTGAGGGCTAACGATGATGGAGATTGGTGAAGATGGGTGATGGTCAATGCCTCAGTGGTGGCCAATGGCGAAGGCAAGTGGTGGCGATGACGGAGATCGACAATGATGAGCAACGGGAGGTAATGGCAGTGAAAGTTGGTGGTGATAGCTTCCAGTGACTAAACCTAGTGTGTTTTAAAAACCCAAAAAGGGGGGGGGGGGGCGGGAGGAAAAATACTCTAAAATGCATCCATTTCTTATTTAAAAAACAGCAAAAAATGAGAACAATTTTTGTTTTTGTTTTTGGAAACAGCTTTTAAAAATTGAAATCAAGCAGACCCATCATTTCCAACATCTTCGAAATGTCCGAACATATATCTATTGCTATTCTACGTAGCAACCCCCTTCAAATGGTGAAAGAAATACATGGTAGGGAAACCTCTGAACTAATTAAGCCGGCAATACCTGCAGCTTCACCTGAAGAACCATCTTTTGGAAGTTGAAACACCCGCAGGCTCATCCTTCTTTCTCCCATCTATGCCCTTCTTTAAAGACTCCAATCTTCTCCTGCATGAAATTTTTAGGTTAAAGTTAATCAGTGGAGTATTTTGAAGTATAGAAAAATATTTGCATTATTATCAGTGGTCAAACAACTGAATATAAAACAATACGAACTTATCTATTGAAAATAAGAATTAGTACCAAGTACGTGTAAGCTCATCAATCACCTATTCAATCACATGTTTGGCTACGCTAATTGATAATGGCACATCCAAATTATTTCATATTCTGATAACTCTAATATGGTAGGCAGCTATCATTTAAAGCAAAAGGAACTCAACCATATCCATAGATAGCCTATAACAATATTTAACAACTAATATGCTATATCTATAAAAAAACATGGAAACTAGTCATGAATATCCATGAGAGGGAATAAAAATTGTAGAAATCATGTTGCCATCCATGATGCGCTTCACAGAAATTACTTGGCATCAGTAAGGCGACCATGCAAGCTCCATCGTTGGCGGAATCCTTCCACACCCTCCATCCCACTAGCAAGAATCATCCGCCTGTAAATTGTACCACGCAAGATACATAACAGTATTCAATAAGTGAAAACTTTTGCATTGTATAACCATGAATTTTACATGAAAGACATTATGTCACAATGACACATTGACTTGTTTGGTACTTGGAATAGTATGGAATGAAAAAAATATATCATAGAAAAAGTGATTGTGTCGATTGACAAAGTACTTTGTACTCCTGAAAGGGAAAAATAATAATAGAAAAACATAGTTGCTGTTAAGTAACGATAATAAGGCCATAACATATATTATACATATATTACATCTCATTTTTAATGCAATGGAAAAGGAATCCTTTAACATCCTTACCAAATGCCGAGCAGAAAGAATGAAAACCATAGGGAAATTAAAGGGCACCTTTTGTAGTTTCCAGGGATATATACATGATACATTAAAAGCATCTGCATTATGCAAACTCATGACAAACCTCAAAAATGTAAACCCCTTAGATTTGTTGCTGGTGTGGGAAAAAAAAATCAACATGATTCCTGAATTCTGAATTTGATTTATAATCTTCAGTCCAATTGGGCAACAATACGCACTACTAGAAAAGAAAAAAGTGGCATGGGGCCTTTATAGTGAAAAGCAAAACATTTCAATAAGCTGATAAACATTAACAGCCACCACCACCATCATGTTAACGGAAGCCACTCCCAAATTTTGTTATTTGAAATAATAACAAAGGCTTTCTCAAGTTATTCATAATATAAGCCTAGTTTGTGTTTCCTTAGTAAAATGCTACTTCCTCCATCCCAAATTATAAGATAACTTTGGAGGAAATTCGCTATCCCACAATATAAGATAATTTGATAAAAATAAAGTTTTATTAATAATTCTTTTCCAGTATTATCCTTTAAGAGAGAGAATTGAAATGATATTGTAGTATAACAATTAAGTGTGTAGGGCATTTTTGAAAGTTTACAGTTTTGTTTTGAAAAAGTTTGTAAAATGTCATCATTGTGTTTTATTGGTATGCATAATCTTATCTCAAATTGTCATATAATTTAGGATGAAGGGAGTACTTGAATATACCTTTCCAATGATGTAACTTCTAATTCAAGCTGAGCAGCCCTTTCCTTTGCATCATCTAAAGGCATGGATGAACCCAATTTACATTCACTATCTAGAAGACGTTTTCTTATCTCCTTATCCTGCATATAATTTTTACCAAATGAAAAAAAAAATGGAACAGCATATCATACAAACTTATTTTCCCTTTACACCTCCATTTCCAAGCCACTAGTGAAAAAAATACCGCAAACATGTTCAAGTGATGTAAAAGGAAGTGGAGGTGGCTTTAAATAAGAGAGAGCACAGTAAAATGGAAGATGAAGCCATTGAGAGAGTGAAGCGTATCTGTCACGGTTATCTCACCCTTCTTTCAGCGCATTGGCGATACAGAGCAATCTCATCTTGACAGAATGGTTCAATGTCATTTATTTGCAAGCCTACAAAATTTAAATGAAGTCAGTAGAATTTTCCCAAATAAATAACGAAAGAAAACTCATACTAATTGACACTGATTTTCAAATATTTAAATTCTTAAGGAGGTTAAGGCATTTGTTTGTTCAGGCTATTTGGAGGGCACTCAATGTGTACAATTTGGGGCTACAATGGAGAATAAGGTGCTTTGGGAGTCCTATTTTTGGTTGGCATCTGGTGTACAAAGCCTGAACAAAAATAGAATTCTAGCTCAAAGTTTTTTCAAACACTTGTATTGGACATGGTCGTTCCCTGCCTCTAAGTGTGTCTCTGCATGATGTTTTCAACTGAGTCAATTTGCCAATCATGCTCAGGGACTGGTTGCCCTTTTGATCTGTTCTTTATTAGTTTTTTTTTTTTTCCCTGCTTTAGGATGATTTCTAATTCTTTGCATTTGTGCTTCTTTTCTCTCTCAATGAACTTTAACCTATAAAATGTTCAAGACATTATTGGTCAGTAAAATATATAAGAGCCAAGTAGCCTCCACTCTTTTCTACCCCAGCTGAAAATTACAACCAGAGCTGGAGAGAAATAATTTATAGATATCTGATCTGCTCCAGAACAACCAGGAGTGAAACAATGGTCACCCTCCCAGGTTTTACCCCTACTAGCAACTGGGTTTTACAACAGGAAGTAATTTTCTATAGAAAGAGCTGCACCTTCTAACAAAGGAAACACCAGTACTTACACAAAAACAGATTCCTCAGGATTCCATCACACAACTCAACCTTCAAGCACATGGGAGGCTATTTCTGGCGGGACTAGAGGTGATGGAGGCCCCATCATTAGATCATCGCCAACCAATATTGTCTCTTCCATAGTTGGTTGTGAATCAACTGAAGCACACAGAAAGTTTTAAACATATTGATCAGGTTCAGATCATTAA